AAAACATACATGGTGGAGGGCGGATTAGAAGGTAAGGAGGGCTGGGACCCTCCCTGATGACGCAGCTGGTTAAAACACAGCACTGTAAGCTGGCCGCAGCCACTTCAGTGCGAGTTTGAGCCTGACCGGTGAGGTGACCCACATGGCACAGCAGACCTCACCTGTCTCACCTGCTGCTCCCCTCATTGTGGACTTTGTCGTTCTGCTCCCCACTCTGTCTCTGGTAAATTCTCTGACTGCCCCCGTATCTCTGGCCTGTACCCCAGTTCTGTATGCATAAATAAACTTAAAAAAAAAAAAAGGAGGGCTAATCACAGGGCAGACCGGTGGGCTGGGTGGTAAGTTTTCTAAGCACCTGTCTCCCCAGATGTTCAGATTGGTTCCAGTGGACTCTGGTAGAGGTGGGACGAGCCTGTGTGTTATTTTGTAGACTTGAGTCTTGGTGCTCTGGAGTTCACTGAGCAGGCGAGCCCCTGGGTGGTTGGCCTGCAGGCCTTCTCTGATCTGACGTGGTCTAGTTTCCTTCTGTGCGTGGAATCTGTGTGGCCTGGTCAGGAGTAGTAGAGGCTTTGGAGGAGTCAGCAGTCTTCCAGAATCTTTCAGGTTTGGGAATTTCGAGTCCCTAGGATTCTGAGTCAGCATCTCCCTGGGCTTTAACTCCTTTGATCTATCTCAGGGCTGTTTTGCAGAGCACTGAGATGCATGGGGGTCTGAAGTCTCACTGGAACAATAAGGACAGATGTGAGGCAGTCTTTCTGCACACAGCTACCTGTCTCCTCACAACCCTGTACGTGCTCTCTCCCTCTCTCTGAATGTTAATTATTTCAGAAGTTAAATTACCAGTGGTCAGAAGCTCTTGGGGTTTCATCCTTGTTCAGAAGCTCAACGTCTTCAGAGTAGTCTGACCAGCCAGCTGGGCTGGTGCTGCTGCAGCCTTGCTTAGGTTCAGGCCTGGCCCGCTGGAACCTCCCTGCCCACAAGTTAAAATGGCTTGTTCCTTCCCATGTTGACTGAGTGCTGTGGGCATGGAGATAGGATGTTGGGCTCACTAACCGGCTCCCTATCTGATAGGGGGCAGAAAGACTCCCAGGAATCACCCCAAGGCTTCCAGCCCCCTGCTGTGGAATGTATTGCGCAGCAGGGGGTGGACCTAGCCCACTGGGTCCACAGCAGGGGACTGGGTGTGACAGAGGGTGGCCTGGAGGACACCTGGTGGGGGCCTGTGTCTTCGGGATGGGGTGTGGGCAGGCGCAAGCCTGAAGGTGACTTTCTGCTCTTGGGGTGGGGGAGGCTGGTCTCCGGAGTGGGGTCGTGGTGGGGTCTGCGGTACCTGGAGGTCCTGAGCCTGCCGGGAGGGGCTGGGAGGGACCTTGCAGCGGGAGAGGAGGCGGGGCATGGCATTGGGCGTTGCAGGGGAAGGCCCCCCTCCCGCCCTCCCCCATCCTCCCCCATCCTCCCCCATCGCCCCTCTGACCAGCCCACCTCCTAAAGGCCTGCTCCCCCTCCCCTCCCCAGGGCGGAGCGCCCTGCGGTGTGGCCTGGTGGGTCTTGGCCCCGCCCCGCAGGCCGAGTGGCTGATGCCAGGCCCCGCCCAGCTGCTTAACTTCCGCGGAGCCGCCGCCGCCTCCCGGAGTCGGAGTCGCTGGGCTGCTGGCCGGAAGCGAGCGGCTGACCACCTGCTGGTGAGTGCGCCGGGGCGCCCGGGCCTGAAGTGCTGCCGCTTGGGCTCATGGGGCGGGGGCCGCAGCGCCCAGGGCTGTGGGTCATCTCTCAGCTTAGCGCCTTGAGGCCCTGGCATTGGAGGCGCCCACCCCGCCCCACCTTGTGGATCTAGCGGCTTCTGAGCGCAGGGTCACGGGCCGGCTGCATGAGCTCACTTCCTCCACATCCTGTAGCATCTCCTCGCCCTGCGCCCTGCAGGCTGGAGAAAAGGGAAATCCTGGCGTACTGGGCTCCGGGTCCCCTCCTGCCTTGTGAGCTTTGGGCTGATTTTCTCGGGGCTCCGAGGGAATGGGGCACCCTAGGGGAGAGGAAGCAGTTCCTCTGGGGCCGAGGAGTGTCAGAATTTGTCACAGTCTTGCCACCCAAGGGCTGGGGAGGGGGGATCCGCCGCCCTCTGCAGAGCCCTAGTCTCTCCTAGCGCCTGCAACTGCCTGGGGAAGGGTGCTTTCGTTCAGAGGCTTGAGGAAGACCCCAGCCCTTGCCCCAGCCCTCCCTTGCCCCCCCCCCCATTGAAGAAAAACCACCACCAGCTCTTCCTTTTGCTTCCTCTTCTCTTGCCCAAGTCCTCCCCAGTATAGCTCTCCAATTTTTGTCCTCTGAGAATCCATTTTCTCCTTCCTTCCTTGCAGTTTGCTACTAGCCTTGGAAGGAGGGGTGCAGGGCTGGTCGTCCCACCTGGAGACACCTCCTTTCACCCTAGCTGTGGGTAGATGGGAGGAAGCGAGCTCTTTGTGCTCTAACGTGGGTGTGTGAGAAAGTTTGGGCTGGTAGAAGCTTGGGGTTTCTGCTAAGGTGGGTGACTGGCACCCAGCGACGCTTCCTCTCGGCAGGAGCCACTGCTCCTGCTGCCTTGGGCTGTACAATACTGCAGGCCCCAGACCCCACTGCCTGCCCTCCCTGCCCAGCAGAGACACGTGTTAAATCGAGGTCCAGAGGAACCAGGCAGGGCACCCCACCTGTGGGAACAAATAACGCACCTGGGCCTGCCATCCAAGCTGCTGAAAAACAAAATTCAGTCAAGTAAATTTAAAGACCTGTTTTTATTAAATGATGCATGAAGAGGACAGTACCCCATCCAGCTAGTATAGAAAGCTGCTGGGGGAGGGTTATGCAAAACAAAAGGTTTTTTACAGTCAGAAATAAGGTGAGGTGAGATTTATTTTTTAGGAAAAAAAAAAAGACCGCTTCAGAGAAGGCCATTTTCCTTTAGGAGAAGAGGGCATTTTATGCAGATACCTGATGGCCAGGGTTAGCTGGGGAGGGGGGACAACTCTAAGTTAGATATTAAATCTTAGTTTGGAAGCGTGGGCTGGGCTTGGCCCCAGTGACTCCATTTTGGGCCTGCTGTTTCTTTTTTTAACAGACTTGAATTGGAATGTTCCATTCCAGTGATATCGCAGGGATACTGTTGCCTCCTGGGTAGTGAGGGGTGGATAGGGATCCTGCAGCACTGCTCAGTATAAACTCTTAGAATGGCATGTTCTGGAAAACGTGAGACCCCTACCCGCTTCCCCCCGGCCAGGCCTTTGCCTCCCGGTCGCCTGCTGCCTCTGTCCTCATCATTCAGGCTCCGCTTGCTCCTTCCATCCCAGAGGTAGCGCCCTCTTCTCCCACCCGTGGGCATGCAAAGGCACTGGGGTGCTGTTGCGCCAAGTGCCAGTGAGGTGCTGGCTTCTGAGCAGCTGCTATAGGTCCCAGCTGTGATCTTAGCAGTGGGCAAGTGAGCTGGAGGAATGACCTTGCCCACTTCCCAGACAAATCTGTGAGACCTGGAGAACATGGGGACCTTGCAGAGAGGCCTTCCTCGCTCTCAGGGGAGGGTGGTCAGGGCTGTAGTGTCAGACTGTCCCCAACCCTCCAAAGCCACCTCAGTCTCCCTGGTCACAGCCCAGAACTCACCTCCACAGTGGCCTTGACTCAGGAGAGGGGAGGTGGCCACACGTCCCTGCCTCAGGGCACTTTCCTTGCAGCTTCCTCATGTGACCTGAGGTTCCCCTCACTCCCCAGCCCACCGGGAGCCTAGGAGAGTGGACACTCTGAGGTCCCTCATCAGCAGTGCAGGAGGCACATGGGCCTGGGAGAGTTCGGGAGCACCGGCAGTGGCTCTGCTCTTTGGACTTGACATCTAGGGGCCCCCTTCCCCCCACTCCTTAGCTCGAAGTGGACAGTAGGTGCCAGGCCTGATCCCTTGGGGTCAGCTAAATTCATGTCTGCTCCCTGGGGACCTTTTGGGGCCTACCTGTGGTGATTGGGAGGAACTCAGAGCCCCTGGTCTCAGTGTCCTGTTTTACCTGAGGTGGAGTGACTGAGACAGGACTGAGGTGGTAGGACCCATGTCCGGCGGGGCAGTGTCTAGAGTCCTTCCAGGACAGCGGCTCCCTCTGTGGCTCCCTCACTTTGGGAGGAAGGTCGAGGGCCTGTTCATACGCCTGGACTGGAGCCCCTGGGGGAGAATGAAATGCAGAGGCATCTGGGGACCTGCTTTGAGGACTCAAGGCTTTTGGACCAAGCAGGGTCCAGGGCTGCTCCTGTCTGGCCATAGTGGTCGCAGCCCCCATGGCAGGTCAGAAGATGGGCAGGAGACTGGCACACTCCCAGCTGCAGGTGCTCCCCACTGGGAACCCCAGGCTGTGCAGGAGGTTCCTCTGCTCCTGAGAGCTGTGAGGGGGGGTGGTGCTTGGGCACAGTGGTTGATGGCCTGATGGGTGGGAGAGCTCATGGGAGGCTCAGCACAGGCCTGGGCAGAAATGTTGACCACCGGGCCCTGGCAGGAAGGGGCTTGTGGATGGCGCTACTGCCACTGGGGGAGCCCTGGTTTGTGCACACCTCCCACACTTAAGTCTGGTCACGAGTCCTCAGGCCCCAGCCCACAACCCCTTGCACTCTGGGGGGAGTCTTGCCAGGCAGGGGCGGAGCTGGCATTCCTACCTCCATGGCCCTGTGTTTTTGCCGGGTGTCAGGTACATCCAGGTAGAGCCACTCTGAGCTGGGGTCTCTCGCCTGGGACAGGGGTCTGAACTGGGTCAGTTCTCTTCTCTGGCAGCAGCTCTTTGTGCCTGAATTTCTTCTTCTAAAGATGGCAGCAGGTGGGAAGGGCTGGCTCCTGGTTAGCCTGCATCAGTTGGGCAGCAACTGTGGAATGTTTGCACTCCTCCTCCTCTGTTATCTGTGAGGCTGGACTGGGAGGGCTGTGGAGGCCGGGCCTGGCTTCCCAGGCAGCAGGCGGATGCCCTGGGACAGCGGGAGTGTTGTTCCAGGCCCTGGGAAGGATCCGTGGGCAGATCCCAGCCCTCCCTCCGTTTCCCTGAGGGCCTTCAGGTGCTTATCTTCCAAGGAGGCCTGGGGGGCGGGGGGCTAGTGCAAGGTGGTGGGGCTCTAAGGATCTGTGACATCAGATGCCAGGGGTCTCCCCCAAGTCCTGCTCCCTCATTCCTCAGATGCTACTTAGTTGAATGGAAATGGGTCAGGTCCCGGCAAGGGAGGGGCTGCCCTCTCGCAGACAAGCTGCCGAAGCCAGCTGGAGCCCGGGGCTCAGATTCCCGCCCGCCCGAGTGCGCCTTCGCCCAGCACTGCCAGGTCCCTCCCTGCCTTGGGCTCACTGGAGCAGGCAGGTGGCCAAGCCAAGGGACAGCGGGCAGAGGGCTGGGGCAGGTGTGTGACCAGTGCCTGTCTTTGCAATAGCCGGGATCTCTAACCTGCTTCCAGAACCGAGAGGGGGAGCAGCCCATCAGCCCTCAGGGGGTCTGGCGGAACCCCAGCCCCGGTGGAGCCGCTGCAGCGCTGTGGCAGGAGCGCCGCGGACTGGGGGGAAGGGAGGAAGGAGGAGAAACAAAGGCGAGTGCGCCTCGCACCGCCCACCATGTGTCAGTCAGAAGCGCGGCGAGGACCGGAGCGCCGTGCAGCGAAATGGTGAGATGCTGCCCGCCGCGTCCTAACCCTGCGGTGCCCCGCCGCGACCTCCGGAAGGTCAGAGTTCACGTCCAGCGGCCCCGAGGTGGAGGTGGCAGCAGGGGGCCAGGGGATCAGCCCCCTCGACTGGAGGGGCCCGGCCCTGGGGGCCTGAGCCGCAGAGCCCGCTTCAGGTACCTGTGCTGCCCCGAGGCTGGGGCCCATTGTCTGTGCTGCGCCCTCACTGCTGCTCCCAGGCCCCTGGCACAGCCCGCACCCGCTGGGGGCCAGGTGCAGTCTTCCGGGAGACGGGGCTGGTCTCGTGCTTCTGCAGTGAGGGCTGCTGGGGGTGCGTGGAGTGGGGGAGCAGTGACTTGCCAGCGTTGCTTGGCCCTTAGTACTTCCCTGGCCTTGGAAAACAGTGGGGTGGGCTGCCAGAGGGGAGGGGCACGGGCACGGACTGGCGAGGCAGAGATGCCGCCGTCGGCTCCCGTCATCGAACTGCAGTGTCTGGCTCTGTTCTCCATTTTTTCTGCTTAGTGTCAGCTGAGATGCCTCTTTGTTCTGTATTTTCAGCAACTGGGGGCAGAGGACACACAGCTCCTCTGAGAAATACAGGCACAGATGGGAGCCTTACTCCGTCCGTTGAATGCAGTCCTTCTGCAGATGACAAAACCGAGGCCTGGGAGGTTCTCAGAGTGGGTGGCGGTGTGGTCGCCTGGTGGCTATTCTGGGGCCTCCATGTTTTTTGGGCCTTGGCGCACGGCTGGGGAACCCGGCGCCGTGGCTGCGCCTCTGGGGGCCAGGGTTCAGGGGCAAGGCCTGCGCCAGTCTCTGCAGTTAGTGCCAGGCTGAGGTGGTGCCAAATGCACTGGCTTGGGGGGGGTGTCTGGGGAGAGGGGCAATCCCTCTGCTGAAAGGAGGGGCCTGGTGAGGTGCGCGCCCCAGAGTAGGCACGACGCCTTAGGAGCGGAGCGGAAGCCCTTCCACCAGCCCCTGGGCCGGCCCGGATACGGCCGTGGAAAAGCCGCACAGACCGCGAGCTGTAGCTGCGCGTAGGGTGTGCGCACGTCTCTCGTTTCTCTCTGCTCTCCTCGGGCTCTGCCCGGGAACTTACCTGTTAGGTGGGGGCTGGAGCCAGGGAGACTCCCCAGCCCCTGCAGCAGCATGGTGGCGCTAGCTGTCCCTCTCTGCTGTGCACTGCTTGGAGCTCCAGGGGAGCAGACCCAGTCTCCCCAGGGGCTGTGGGTCGGCTGTGGGTCAGCTGTGGGCTGCGGGGCTGGGCCTCACGGTGCGTCTCAGAACCCAGATTCCCTGTCCTCAGCCGGCGTGGGTCTGCGGGGCAGGAGACACCTGGCCAGAGCTGCTGGGGGTGGTGGGACAGGTCAGGGCTGCCGTGCCCCGGTGGGCAGGGGCCTCCCAGTCCCTGGCCGCTGACCCTGGCTGTGCCTGGACGTCTGCCCTGCAGGTTGCACTTCCCCCAGCTGGCCCTGAGGCGGAGGCTGGGCCGGTGGAGCTGCATGTCCAGACCCGCCCTGAAACTTCGCTCCTGGCCCTTGACTGTCCTCTACTATCTCCTGCCCTTGGGGGCCCTCAGACCTCTCAGCCGGGTGGGATGGAGGCCGGTGAGCAGGGTAAGTTTGCAGGCTGCTGTCTGGCCCTCCCCCTGGTGGGCCTGACTTTGGGGGGGGAAGGAGACTGCTGACATGGGGGTGATGACTCTGGGGGTGCCTTCCCTCTGGACGGTATGAGGTGAAGCAGGTTGAGTGGTCAGGCTGGTCTGGGCTGTGGACAGGCGACAGGGCGCGGTGCCTGCATTCGTGCTGGGGGGGGGGGCTCTGCTTCTAGAAAAACCCACACTGGGTGCTGATAACATGGTGTCTCTGTGTTCAAATGGGAGAGAGCTCAGAGGGGATTTTGAGAACTCTACTCCCAGGAGCCTGTTTGGGCCCCTCAGGGTGAGGACCAGGGCTGGATGGGTGAGTGGCCTGGCCTTGCCCTACGTGGTCTGGTCAGCTCCCTCTAAGGAGACCTGGCTCAAAGGCACCTACGGGCGTCGGAGACCTGTAGACGGGACCACCCAGCATCCTAGGCTGCTCCAGTGCCCTGGTGTCAGCTGAGCTGGGAGTCCTAGGAGCCACCAATTCAGTCGCCAGCAGTAGAGGGGTTTAAAATTGGAGTGAAATGAGCCTTAACACCTCGGGGACTTGGTGTGTGGGTTCCGCTCAGACAAATGGGCACCATACTGTAAGGGGCCTCCCTCTGGGTGCGAGGCCCTGTGGCATCAGGCGGCGTGGCCACCCCAGGCCATGGCCTGTCCTCAGGTGCACTAGGCTCCTGGCCCTGAAAGCTGGCTGAAGGGGCCCCAGGAGACCCGATTCTCCGTCTTCTGGGAGGAGCTCGGGTGCAGACCGCCTGTGGACAGCTCGCACCTCTACGCGCCGGGCTGGGCTGGGCTGGCCTGGCCTGGCCTGGGCGGGGTTGGCCCTCACTTCCTGCGAGCCGAGGCCCTGCTCCTCTGGGCTCTGGCGGTGTCAGACCCAGTTAGGACTGCACCTGCCAGTCTCCCCAGGACTAGGGGGTGACTGACCTCTGTCCACAGCGACAGAAACACCCAAGCTATAAGTCACTGTGTCACGGTCTCAGCCAGCACTGTCTGGTGAGCTCAGTCTGGTTTCTAGTGAGAAATGGTCTCAACGCCAAGCCATGGCAGGCCGGGGGCGAGGGTCAGCTGGCAGGGCAAGGGGCTCTACCCTGGACCTGACTCGGCCATCTGCCCGTGGCCTGCAGGTGGCCCTGTACAAGTCGGTGCCCACACGCCTGCTGTCACGGGCCTGGGGCCGCCTCAACCAGGTGGAGCTGCCACACTGGCTGCGCAGGCCCGTCTACAGCCTGTACATCTGGACCTTTGGGGTGAACATGAAGGAGGCCGCCGTGGAGGACCTACATCACTACCGCAACCTGAGCGAGTTCTTCCGGCGCAAGCTGAAGCCGCAGGCCCGGCCCGTCAACGGCCTGCACAGTGTGGTGAGCACCGCCCACCCCCCACTCGCCCACCTTCTGTTCCTCGCTCCAGAAGCAGGAGCCTCGCCTCTGCCTGTGGGCTCTGGCCCCAGCACCCCTCACGCTGCGGTTGGTGGGTCCCCAGGCTGGGTCTGCAGGTAGGCCCTGCTGTGTCCTGCCTCCCCGGCAGCAGCCTCTCCTGGCCTTTCCAGATCAGCCCGTCGGATGGGAAGATCCTCAACTTTGGGCAGGTGAAAAACTCTGAGGTGGAGCAGGTGAAAGGGGTCACCTACTCTCTCGAGTCCTTCCTGGGCCCACGCGCCTCCTCAGAGGACCTGCCCATTCCACCAGGTGGGTCCCCGTGTGGCCGTAGCTGGGCAGCCCTGCTGTAGGTGGCGAATCGGGACAGGGGGTAGAGACTGGGGGCCAGCTGCTGAGGTGGGAGCTCCCTGGCACCCCTGGCTGCACGCTGGGTGACTGACATCAGTGCTTGTCTGAGCGCCTGGGCTGTGTGCACCCCCCACAGCCACCTCCTTCAGGAACCAGCTGGTCACCCGAGAGGGGAACGAGCTCTACCACTGCGTCATCTACCTGGCCCCTGGGGACTACCACTGCTTCCACTCCCCCACTGACTGGACGGTTTCCCACAGGCGCCACTTTCCAGGTAGCTCCGGCTGGTGGCTGGATGGGAGGGACTCCGTGGGCTTCAGAGAAGGGCTCAGCTTCGCAGGGAGTTCGGGCTCCTGATGTGGATTTTCAAGGCTGCAGTGTATGGTTCCAGACAGCCTGGGAATATCATGGGGGAGACGGCCTCTTGGGCTGCCCCAGAGTAGAGGCACCGGGCCCCAGGAGGCTGGTGCTTCCGCCAGGCAGGCGTCGCAGTGTCCCTGGCCCTCAGGCTCCCTGATGTCCGTCAACCCTGGCATGGCCCGCTGGATCAAAGAGCTCTTCTGCCACAATGAGCGTGTGGTCCTGACTGGGGACTGGAAACACGGCTTCTTCTCGCTGACAGCTGTGGGGGCCACCAACGTGGGCTCCATCCGCATCTACTTTGACCAGGTGAGCACAGCTCAGGCCCTGCTGAGACTCACGGGCTGGGCCCGGGGGTCCCTCCTGTTTTGTCCCCTGTGCAGCCCAGGTCTGTGGGGACTGTAAGTTCTGGGAGGCTCTAGGGAGCGGCTGCTCCTGGGAGCTGCCCCCACCCCCGCCCCCCACGGGGTCAGTGCCGTCCTGCCAGAGGGCTGCTGTTCTTGGTGACGGTGTGTGACCTGCCCCTCACACCCACCTGGGGAATGAGCCCCCGCTGACGGCCAGTGAGGGGCCTCTGGTGAGCCCCAGCCCCCCCACCCTTGCCGAGCTGCTGTGCAGCCCCCGCACTGTGCCCCGCTTCCCAGGACCTGCACACGAACAGCCCGCGCTACTGCAAGGGCACCTACAACGACTTCAGCTTCGTGAGCCACGCCAACAAGGAGGGCATCCCCATGCGCAAAGGCGAGCACCTGGGCGAGTTCAACCTGGGCTCCACCATCGTGCTCATCTTCGAGGCCCCCAAGGACTTCAACTTCAGTCTGAAAGCAGGACAGAAAATCCGCTTTGGGGAGGCTCTCGGCTCCCTCTAGAGTTTTTCTGGCTTTGGCGGCTTTCCAAACACACAACCACCACGGTCTTTTCAAGGGGGACCCCCTGTCCTGGGATGGGGGGGCTTTCAGGAGGGGGCTATCTCAGGGCCACAGGTTCTGACTGGGCAGGACCTGGGCTCCTCCTGTTCCTGCTGAGTCCCCAAGGTGCGGACCAGCGGTTCTTGACCCCTTTGAAAGGAGGTCAGCACCCACCACCTCCCCTTACCCTGAAGGAAGCGCAGGAGGGATGATTTTTGAAATCCCTTTTGGAGATTTTTTAACACATTGTATAAAACGGAGACCCTGTATCTCCTGGCTGAGTGTCACTGGTCTCCTGTTCTAAAACAAGAGGGTCACGGTCCTTCTTGCTGCTCCCCCACCCCCACCCTGCGTGGGGCGAGGTGCCTGCTGGCATTGACTGTGACCCCCGCTGCCCCCAGAGCAGGGCCATACAGCCTTTAATGCGAATGCTTTGCTCCCAAATTTGCCACACTCTGCTCGCAGGGAAAAGCTCGGTCTCTCCTCCTCTGGCTGAGCGTGGTGCCCTGCACTCTGCCAGTGTGGTGATGGCGGCACAGACCCCACAGGTCCTGGCCAGTGACCGGAGCTGGTGAGTCTCGACCAGTCACTGCTCCTGGCGGGGGCCAGGGAGCGCCCCTAGAGCCAGCCCTAAGCCAGGTGAGGAGAGTGACTGCTGCTGACTCAGTCAGGCCTTGGTGTACTGGTTGGTGTCAGTGCCTAGACAACCTGTCCCCAGGTATGCAGTCCTGGGGGTGCCGCTGGTGGGGACAGGACCAGGTTTCCTGGGGATGCTGTGAATTTCTCCTGCAGGAGAAGTCATTTGAATTTCTTCAACTGTATCAGTAGCACAGTATTTTTGTATGAAAAGCGGGAGACTCCTGAACAGTGATTCATTTAATTGCAACATTTTGAAATAAAAAAACCTTATTGCAGCTTTGTGTCCTATTCCTGGAGGTGGGCTCCCGGGGCCTCACCTCTAGCCCAGAGCCTGCCGCAGGGCCTGGACGCGGGCGATGCAGGCCCTGATGGGCTGGCGCTGGGCCTGGAGCTCAGTGGCCAGCTGCTGGATCTGCAGTTCCACCTGAGGGCAGGGGAGAGGCCGGAAGCTGAGGTGGCGGCCTGATCTGGATGACCTGAAGCCAGCAGAGGGCCGCGGCCTTACCTGCTGTAGCTCCTCCTCCACTAGCTGCTCTGCCGCCCTTGCCTCGGGCCTGGGCTCCTCCCGGCTCAGCTCTAGCCACCTGCGCAGGCAGCGCGCTTGACGCTGGCAGGACCTGGGGGCCAGGGAGAAGCCCGTCAGCTGCCTCTGAGGACGAACCAGGGAGGTTGTGTGCCGCCGCCTTCCCTTGAATCAGGCTGCTGCTTACTGGGCGAGGGCCTGTGCCCTGGGTGCTGGTGTGGGCTCTGGCAAGAGAGGCTGGCCCGGTGCACGTAACTGGAGCCTGGGCCTGTCTTCCCCGCACCTTGTCAGCTGCTGGGCAGACCGCGGGCCCGACTCATGGACCCAGTCATGCTTACTGTTGTGCTCCACACTATCCTCGTCCCCAGAGGTAAGAATGACTTGGGCCTTCCTGAGCAGGACTGAGGGGTAAAGTCCCACCCGTGAGTGGGGAGCTGGCACTGCGCTGTAGGGGAGTCCTCCCCCAGCACCCTGGCTGCCTGCTCTAGCACTGCTGTTCCCTGCGGGCCGGTGGCAGAAGTGTCTCTGGGCCTTACCAGAGGTTCTGCTTCGTGGTCTGGCAGTGCTGCAGCTGCTGCTGGATTCCCTCAAGCTCAGCTTCCAGGTCAGTGTGGCTGGTGGCAACTGGAGAATGAACCTGATCTTGACCTTGCCTCCCAGGCCCAGGTTGAATGGAGGTTTCCCAGGTGCTGGGAGCAGCCTGTGCACGCACAATGCTGTGAGGTCTCAGAACCACACCAGCAGAGCCAGGCCTGGTGCCTGTGAAGTCCCCAGGAAGGAGCAGATTGGGGTTGCGGGCACTGACCAGGGATGGGGAGGCCTGAGGCACAAGTTCAGGGGTGGTTGGCTGCACTGAAACCTGTAACAGAAGGGTGGGTGCTGAGCAGGGAAGCTGGAAGGAAGTCTAGGGAAGGGCAACAGGCCACCCGGGGCAGGGGCAAGGCGTGCCAGGCCCCACCCCCGGCACCTACTGCAGCCATGAGGTCTGCAGCGCCATGTGCGTCACCTCCTGGGCAGGGATCAAACTCGCACTGAAGTGGCTGCGGCCAGCTTGCAGTGCTGCATCCCACCATTGAGCCACCAGGGAGGGCCCAGGCCCCATATGTTAGAGGAAGCTGTTCAGAACCTCGCTGACCTTCCTCAGGCACTGCCCCACCCACTCTGTGGCCCTGAGCTGGCTGAGCTCGCACTTGAGTACTTAGTGACAGAAGTGTGCAGAGGCGAGTTCCCTCCTGTGGACTGTGCTCAGGACTGTCGCCCAACACCCCCTCCATCCACTGGCAGAGAACCAAACCCCTCAACTCAGCATCTCACCCCAGCCAAGCGTCCTAGGCTGAATCTGCAGGCCTCCTGCGTGCATGGCCACTCAGGACCTAGTTCTGAAGAGCTGGGGCTGGCGTGGCCCTCTGCTCTCACTAGTCGCTGAGCAGCGGCCTGCCCTCTGCGTGTCAGGTGACGAGGGGCGGGTGCCACCCCTCTGCAGGCGCCCTGGCAGGCTGCACTGCAGAACCTCAATTCTGACTTCCAGCCTGACCTCCCCGAAGGCCAGGCTGAGTCCTGCTGCTTGATCTCAAAGTCAACAGGTTCAAGAGGGACACACTTGACCCCAAACTGGTCCCCACCCCCCCTTTTCCCTGATTGGTGAAGAGCTCCTGTTCCTAGTTGGTCAAGCCAGAAACACAGGAGGCCGCAGGGTTGCTCCCTTCCTGTCAAACCCATCAGAGCAAGTCTTCCCCGAGCTGCCCCAGGACAGCCCCCCACTCTGCCACCAGCACCTCCTGTTGGGCCGCTGGGTCACAGCCTCCCACCAGCAACATAAGTTCCTCTTCGTGAAACCCAATGTTGCACTACATGACCTCCAGTCACCTCACTTGGCTGCAATGTAAGCTCCATGATGGGCCTCAGCCGGTGACTGGCTGCCCGCCATCTTCCCGAAGCAATGGCCGTAGAGCACCAAAGGCCAGAGCACGCAGCTGGGCCCCCACGGACCAGAGAGGACGACCAGAGAGGACTTACCCTGGCAGGTGCGTCCTTCCCACGGGGCATGAAGCAGGAAGGGGGCAGCAGCTCAGGGCCTGCACTGGCAGTGGGGAACACCTTCGGGTCAGGGAGGCTTGGCAGGAGCCCGAGCTGGGGCAGGGGGCTGCTTGGGGTTGGTGCCGCCTGCATCTCTGCCGGGATGGGCCCTGACCAGGAAGGGCCTAGGCCATGCACCTGACGCTTCTCAGGCCTAAGCAGAGAGAGGCAGCCTTGGAGCCTTCCTCTGGGAGGCAGGAAGGAAGGGGGGCTTCCCACCCTGAGGCCCCAGAACCTACCCCTGTCCCCCGAACACTCCATACTCCAGGGGCCTCAGACTCTGCATGGGCTCAAGCAGGAAGTGTGGGCATCGAGGCTGCTTCCTCGAAGAGCGGGGGGCACTGCTGGGAGGAAACACCAGCCTGTTGCTCCCGCGTGGGGACTGCTGGGGCCTGAGACCTTGTGGCTAAGTCCAGGGAGCTTATCCAGTCCAGCTCCCATCTTACGGGGAGACCTCGGGTCCCAGGTGGCTGGGCCTGGCCACACAGAACTTGTGGTAACTCCCATGAAGCCTGATGCCTGCGGACGCCTCACCCACGTGTCTCACCGAGCCTGCCGCGGGCACAGGTGCTGTCCCGAGTCTCGGGAGCAGGCTCCTCAGGGCCAGGCCCTTGTCGGGAGGGCATGTGGGAGGCAGGGCAGGGCCAAGGGCCAGACTGGTGCCCTCCCTGCCAGCGCTTGCGCTGGTGGCTCTGGGAGCCGACAGTCCAGTGAGCACCGTGTATGAGGCAGGGACAGGACTTGAGGGACTTCCCAGGGGGGAAGTAGAACAGCAGGGCCAGGTCACAAAAGGGTGGTTTCCCAGAGGAAGCCCATTGTCCATTGTAGGAGAAGTGGGAATCCACTGGCAGGCCTGGAGGCAGGCGGGCAGGGCTGCTTTTGCTGACTACCACTCCCTCCCCGGCCCGGTTCAGGACAGGCTGGCGTCCCTGCAGCCAGGGCTGACAGATGGGAGGGGCAAGATCTTCCTGGAGAGGCCTGGGCGCAGTGTCGGCCACTCACCCATGCCCCTCGTGGCCCTCCTGTGCGGCCAAGGTGGGGGTGGGGGAGGGGAGAGGGCGGGCTACTCACAGCTCCAGAAGCAGAGGGTTCCCCGCTGCCAGGGTCAGGCTGCCCAGCGCTCCCCAAGGCCCAGGAGCAGCCTTTGGCCCCTTGGTCTCCAGGGGGGCACCCCCAGCAGCAGCAGCGCCACTCAGTGGGGCATCCTGGAAGGTTCCTCTCCTGCTGGGGCCTGTGGCCCCGGGAGGCTGCGGCTTCTTGCCTGGGCCTAGTGCTTTCTGTTTCCAGAGCGTGGCGCAGCGATGGACTGCTCGGTGCAGGCTGCGGGCCGCCTGCAAGTGGCCCCAGTCAGGTGGGCTGTGTCCCGCTCACTCCCCACGAGGACGGGTGGGGACCACGACCCACCTGGACCTGCTGCTGGGCGTGCAGCTGCTGCCGGAAGGCCTTCATGCCCGCTGCGAAGCGCAGGAGGCGCGCGACGCCCTCCCGGAGCAGCTGCTGGCGGTAGGCCTGTGCCGCGTGCTCCAGCCGCGCCTTCTTTCTCCTCCTCTCCGACACAAAGTCCAGCCATGCGGCCCACACCTCCGGGGGAAGGAGGGGTGAGGCCCAGCTCTCCCTGCAGACTCCTGGGGCTGTGCCCACAGTCCCCCCATGTCCCACCGGGTGCTGTCCCCACCCGGGGAGCCCGTTACCTTCGCCTGCAGACAGAAGGACCAGAACCACAAGGCCCGCGCTGTGCCCTGCTGCTCCCGCCGCCTGTTCAGCAGCTGTGGGCCAGAGCAGGGGGTGACTGAAACCCCCTCCGCGAGGGCTGCCCTGACCCCGTGGGGGCTCCCCCCTCCCCAGGAGAGCCCAGCCTGCCTGGCCCAGAATGGTGGACTCAGGAGTGGTGAGAGCAGCTGCCCTGTGCCGGTCTAGAGAGGCGGGCGGGGCCTGCACAGGTTTGCGGGCACAATGCCGCCACGGGAGCTTTACTGAGGCCTTGCAAAGACGTAAAACGCATTCCTGTTACTCTGGGGGTGCTGTTCCGACGGATTTTTTTTTTTTAACGTGCCACTGCAGAGATGGATCTTCAGATCACAGCAGAAGAGAGCAGGAAGTGACTTGAGAAGGAGCTTAAGGGTTGGAAGCCCTGGACTTGGGTGACAGACCAGGAGGTTGGGGCTCAGGAGGGAGAGGGGGAGGGACCGCAGGGTGTGCTGAGGCTCCCACCTGCAGCTTCCACTGACAGAAGCAGGAGCGGCGGAGTGCCCGGGCCCGGAGCTGGGTGCCCAGCCTCTGCAGGAGCTGGGGAGAGAATGGCGCAGGAGCTCCAGGAGCAATCAGCTGCCCTGCCCAGACACCTGGGGCAACCCCCGGGCAAGACACCAAGGGCCCCTGCACCAGGTAGGGTCCAGAAGACTGCACCGTCCCCCAGCCCTGAGCAGCCACGGCTTCAGAGGATGGGGTCCCTCCTTCTACCTGAGGAGCCTGGGCCCTAAGGTGAGCTTCCCCGGTGCCGCAGTAAGCACCCAGAAAGCCTCCCCTGCGCCCGCAGCCAGTGTCCACAGGGCCCCTGACCACCCAGCTCCCATCCTGGCTCTTGAGGTGGTCAGGTGGGGGAGTTGCAGCAGCCTGACCTTCCTCCTGACGCGGTCCAGGCAGTAGGCCTTCCACCGGGCCAGGGCTGCCAGCAGCAGTGTCCGGCGGTGGTGCAGCGATGCCTTCTCCAGCTGCTCCCGCTGCCGGGCCACCCTCTGGCCGCGGGCCAGCCAGCGCCGAAACCAGGTCCTGAGAGAGCCTGTAGCCAATTAGAAAGTCTGCAGGATCAATATGAACGGCTTTGCGCTGGCGAAGTCAATTAGAGCGTGCAGAAGGTGGAGTTGGGGTGCTGGCCCAGACTCTTGGGGACACCATCTGTGGACAGCGGCCACTGTAGGACAGCCCCAGGTGCCTGTGTCCCCAGAGGCAGCGAGCCACCAGCTGTGACGTGGGCCGCGGCGCCCCGAGGGAGTGACGGTGCTGACGGCTCCCACGCAGGAAGCCGAGGCTCAGAGACCCACGGAAGACGCAGCCTGGCCTTTTGCCACCAGATCCTCTCGGGGAGCAAGCACCTGCTTCTACTTTTAAACTTTCAGTATTTTTCTTAGGCCTTGTGATACATTTCTCTTAGAAACAGAAAACTGCCGATGTCAGACCACTGATGCCCAGTGAGGCCTCTGTGGGACCTCCAGGGTCAGGGTCACGGCCTGGAGCCTGCCAGAGTGCCCATGCTGCTTGCAAGTGAGGACATACTAGGTTTTTGGAAAGTTATGACATTTTTTTGCTTGAAAGACAGAAAATGACATTGTGACTTTTCCAAGAACCAAGTATCAGTCTCACTGGGGACAACCCCAGATGAAGAAACTGAGGCACAGAGAGGGGACCAGCTGAGGTCGTGCGCTGCGCGTGACCCCCACAACTAGGGGCAGCTCTGCCCTTGGTTCCCCCCCCTTCCTAGGGTGTGCCTGAGACGCAGGGGCCTTCACTAAGGGGCACTCACTGCGTGCTGAGGACATGCTCATGGTGACCCCAGGTGTGCCGCGGATGCCTCACAGCCCTCCACTGGTAAGGAGCTTCAGCCTGTACCTCACGCCTGTCACCTCCAACTCCCCTGCGGCCACCTGACCTGAATTGGCAAGGCCTCTCACCACCGGCTGCCACATCCCAAACAGAGGCCCCGGGATGGGCCAAACCCCTGGGCTCCTGTCTAGAGTGAACTGGAAATGCAACACTGGTTTGTGGGGTGAGGGGTGGCTGGCGAGCTGGCTGAGGGTAGAGCAGACTCAGGGGTTCAGTCAGAGAACAGCAGGGGTCTGTGCCCATCAGCAAACACTACAGTCAGAACTAAACCAAAGTGATTGTTTTGCTCTGGAGCAAACTGTTGAATCACTTCCTCTAAGCCCGGCTCTAACAGCTTCCATTTCATCTATATTCTCACTCTGGCCACACGTCGTCCCTCACACGGTCAGTCCCCCACTGCGGAGGCTCCTGTCTGGGCCGCTGTCCTCAGGCTGTTGGGGCAGGCTGTGGGCCAGTGGAGCAAGTCTCTGGGCCCGAAACACCAAGGCCAAAGAAGGCAGGTAAGCAGGACCCGGCACAGTGGGGCGGGCTGACAAGGAGCAGCGCCGGGAAGGGCTTTCCTGTCGTGACACCCAACCACCTCGAACTCCCACGTCCAGCTTCATCTGTGTGTCTGTAGATCTCAATCGCGACCTTTCATTTTAACAAGCGACGTGGCCATCATTTGGGAACGGACTGCTGTGCTGGGCTGGGCTGGCCAGCTGCCCTCCCAAATGCGTCTGCCTGGAAACTCAGAATGTGCCTTATTTGGAGAGAGGACCCAGAATCATCCTGGAGTAGGGTGGATCCTTAATAGGCATATGTACAGCTGGTGTCCGGGGAGATGGAGACTGCCACTGCCACAGGCCGAGGCTGGAGCCACCAGCCCACGAGCCAAGAGCACCAAGGGCTGCAGGCAGCCCCAAAGCTGGAAGAGCAGGGACCCCCCAAAAGCATGGCCCTGTCAACACCCTGCAGACCTGAGAGAACTTCAGAACTGAGAGAACAACTTCCTGCCCACATGCTTTTGCCGTTGCAGCCACAGAAAACTTCACAAGGAGACAGCGCTCCCAAGGCAGTCCTTCACCGTCCCCCCTCAACCCGACCTGCTTCCAGAGGCCCTGCTTACCCCTCTCCAGCACGCTCCGGGCCTCCCTGATGGCACAGTCCTCCTGCTGTCTGTAGTATATCTGCACTGACACGGTCTCCCGCCACTGGACAAGAACCTGTAGGTCACACAGAACAGAGAGGCGGTCATGGCACACCCTGCCTCCCTGAGGAGCCGGCTTCACTGTGCCCTGGACCGAAGCTGAGTGGTGGACACGCTGGTCACACGCCCTGGAAGGGCCTGCCATCCACGCAGACCACACGCGAGCCCGGAGCCCACAGCAGCCCAGTGGCTCAGGCCGTGGGACGTTTCTCCCCGTTACTTTATACCGCGCCATAAAGTCATCACGCGGAGATCCATCGCGCTGTTTGCTAAACACACAAGCTGCCCCCTTTCACACAGGGGACACGAGTCACGAAAGAGAACACTTCACACCCGGCGCTGCTCCCGGCCACCAGAGTCCTTTCACGTCCCAAGCCCGAAGCACAGCAGAGTCGGACGCTGCCTCCAGGGCAGGGACGCACAGCTGGCCAGGGAGAGACGGGCCCTGGCGTGGCATCAGTCCTAGCAGGAGGCGGCTCACGGTTGCCAGGGCCAGCCCTGGCCCGCCGAGGCCTTCTGGCTGCTCAGGGCTCCTAAAAACTGCTTCCTCCTGAACATCCCTGCGGTCAGGGGCCACCGCTGCCGTTTCACTTCTCTGAACGCACCCTTTCTTGGAACAACTTTTCTCCCCACAGCTACATCCTGACCACGAGGCCCGCCACGTGGCACCGCGTTAGCACTTCCCATGAACAGTGATGGTGACCTTACATTCCCGAAGGCTCGGTGCTGTCTAGCAAGTGGCGGCAGGGCCAGCAAGGCCGGCAGGCGGGAGCAAGCTCCTGGCAGGTGAGGAGACAGCGCAGGGGCTTACCTGCCTACCCCAGCAGAGAACACCACGAGCAGAAGGCACTGTTCTGACGAGAACTAGCTCCCTCCCAGGATGCTGTGCTTTTACTTTAATCGACTTTGGCTCATACTTGAGAATGAGACAAACGGGTACAAAACCCAGACGCTCACGGCTTACGCCTGGAGGCAGTCAGCCCATTCTCCAGGTTCCCTGTCCGGAGGCTGGCACTGCCCTCGGGAACCTGGTCCCAGCCCTCCTCCGTGGCCAGCCGCCCTCCCAGTGCCGCACCTGGGAACATAAGGCCCTGCTGTAGTGAGCTCTGGCTTGAGAGGTTTTCTTTGCCTCCTCTACACGAGCAATGGTGTTCTCTCTCCAGCGACGCAGCACCTTCCTGCAGGGACACAGGCCGGGAAAGAGGGCGACAGGGTTTCTGTGAATGCCCCCTCGCTCCTCAGCTCACCCAAATCAAGGGCACCCTGTGGTGGCGCCTGGGGCTGACAGCCATCCTCATGCGGCTGAGCGCTGCTCTGCACCAGGCACTGGGGAGCATTCAGGGCGCCAGAGAAAGAGACACCAGGGGAACACAGAGCCATGACCAGACGGTGAGGACAATGATGGTGATTCAGGCACAGTGAGAGGCGGACAAAGAGACAGGGAAACTGAGGCTGTTTAGCAGTTCGGGGAGTCTGGCTTATTCCACAGAGCCTGAGGAGCTGGGTAAGTTCTTCACGGGACTCTGAAGCGGGGACATAAGTGTCTCAAGTTCACAAGCCCACTGTCCAGACAGCCTGGAGCAGTGTGTGCTGAACAGACAGAGCAAGGAGGAGAGTGGAATGGGTGGGAGCGCTCGAGAGGCCGCCTCCGCAGAGGTGGAGGACGGGCTCGTGGTGGGGACTGCGTCAAGGCAGCTTAAGTGACCTCCAGGGAGAGAAGAGATGCAGACGGGGCCTGGGGCTGAGAGATGATTCTGAGAGTCAGTGAAGGGCCTGCAGCCGCATTAGGGAGGGGACTGGAAGCTCACGCAGCAAGGGAGATTAAATGCCGCTTTGAGGCGCTGAGTCTTGCACTATGAAGTGGGAGGGGAAAGTGCACAGAGAAGGAAGACAAACAGAGATGGTGCGGGCATCCAGGCGACAGCTGCTCCCTAGAGGCCCGGCTCTGCTCGCAGCAGGGGCTAAGGTGTGAGAGAAAACCAGAGCGTGAAGTGCTTGCTGAGGAGAAGTCAAAACCTTCATCTGGGGCCTCCCTGTTGGCACAAGGGGCTAAGATGCAGCACTACGAAGCTATAGCAGCCACTGCAGCCTGAGTTCGATCCCCAGCCAGGCAGCTGACCCACTTGGCCTGGCAGACCTCTCCTGACCTGCCCGCTGCTCCCCTCAGCAGTGTATTCCAGTGGATCACCTGTTCTGCTCCCCACTCTGTCTCTGGTGAATCCTCTCACCCCCTGTACCTCTGGCCTGCACCCCAGCTTTGTATGCATAAAAAAATAAATCTTCAAAAAAACCCAAAAGTCCATGATTTGAACAGCACAAGGACACAGGCCTATGCTCCACCTGGCTCCAGCGTCGCCCTCTCCCTCAGGCTGGGCCTGGGAGACAAGGGACACTCACCGCAGCAGCTGTCTCCTGCACGCGCTCTCCCTCGCCGCCACCTCTTGTAGGATGCGCCGCACTCTGCTCTGGTAACGCTGCAGGAGACAGGCAGACTGGAAGCGACACAGGCCGGCACCTCTCCTGTGTCCAGGCAGGCCTGAGGTGCGTTCTCAACAGGAGCGCTCCCCGCAAAGGGTAAGGGCAGGCCCCGCGCCCCCAGTCAAGAGCCCAGGAAATGCTCAGACAACATCCTTAGCAGAAGGTCCCTGTCCCCAGGTCAAACCACTGGACCCCTGTGCCAGGGGCCAGTGTGTCACAAGGCTGCTGCCCCTGGCAACACGGTCTTCACATGGTGGAGCCGGGACTGGCACTGCCATTCCCCTACAAGGCCGACTGGGCATCGGCTCTGCTGGAGCCTTGCTGAATTGCTGTTTGGGGAGGGGCAGAGAGAACAAGGGAGGGAAGCCCCTCCTTGAGGGACCCCAGAGGCAGGGGTCTGGGGGACAGCCATGACTGCTACCCCTAGGTCTGTCACGCCCTGTGCAGCAAGGCGTGCTGAGGCGGGTCGGCTGGCATGAGCTTCTGCCACTTGGCGCTCGCAGGCCAGACACCAAGCGAGGAGAGGTTCCCCCACTGAGGGCGGGGCCCACGCAGGAGGCAGCTCAGCCTCGCTGGCACTTACAGTCTGGGCGGGCTCAGGGAAGGGGCTGAACCCAGAGGCCCCAGCAGCCTCATGTATGGACAGGGTCCTCACAAGAGGCCGGGGGATCAGGAGAAGCAAATGCTCAGGCACTGTCAAGCACTCTTTTTGACCCCGAATTAAATGCCTGTAAGTGGCCAGATCAGGAATTTCAGATCAGTAAGTACAGGTCAGGACACAGGCACCTGGCAGAATGCGGGACCTGAGCCAGGTGAGCGCTTCTTCACCCGCGGCTGGCCTCAGAGCAGGTGTTTCCGAGCGACCATGGAGGAGCCATATGGCGCTGAGTCACCGACGCGTGGCTCCTCCGGCCACAGCGGGGGGCTGTGCTGAGCCTCACCTCCCGCCACCTGTTCCAGGTCCCACGCCGGAGCCGTGCTGAGTGGAAATCCGCGGCCAGCACACTGCCCAGCCTCCTGCGGGACGGTTGGAGCTCAGCGCTGCAGTGCGGCCGACCGAAGGCACCTCGTGGGCACCACCGCAGCCCGGCCCCTGCCTGGTGGTTCTTATACACGGGGCTCTGGTTTGGGCTCTCCTCCCAGGAATGTGCACACAGTCAGGTGTACATTCAGGGGGCTCCTGGCACCGCTGAAGAAGTTTGTGTGCAGGTGACTGGGGAGGTCAGCTACAGCCTGAGAGGTGGGAGCTCATCGGGGCACAAAGAGGAGCCAGACAGGCGGACAGTGTCTGCTCTGTCTGTGTGGGCCGTCGCCCCGTTCCTGCTATCAGTGGCGAGGCGGAGCGCCACACCGGGCCCTCCCGGCTATACTGCTGGTGCTAAGGGGTCAGCTACCCAAAACAGATCCGCCCCCCTCGTCCCTAACCATGCTCACTGCAAATAGCCCCACAGGCAAGCGGGATGGGCCTATCATTGGGACCTTGGCTCCAAGTAGCTAGTATGGTCCCCAGGCACCCCAATATCCTGTCGCCCAACCCCAGTTTTGCCCAGGCTGTCTCAGGTTGACTTTCTGGAACTTAAAACTAGGGCTGAAGCTAACATGACCTGCTGGCAGGCGTTCCCTGCTAACAGTGCTTTGGTGAAAGTGGCGTGAGATGGGATGAACACCTCAGGCAGAACCAGCCACTCACTCTGTCCTGCGCCCTCTGGCACTTTCCCTCCAGACACAGAAAGCCCTCCTGAGCCGCCCGCGGCGGTGGTGGGCACAGGCCGCTGCTTGCCACAGCCTCTCCCGGCGATGTGCGGTCGTCTGCTGGCACCACGTGGACCAGGACCTTCGTAGAAGCTGCCGTTCTGCATGAAGGATGGCCTGTGACAGGATGGGAGGACAGAATGCCTCAAGGCGGAAGGGACACAGAAGCCACCACAGACAACGGCCAAGGCGCCAGAAATGGACATTGAGAAGCTGCCTCGGCTCCAACGTTATTGGTGAACACTAACAAGGCAGGCAGGTGCCCAGGTGTGGGTGGGTCTTGAAACTGCACTGCCCACCCTGGGCACCTCCTCAGGGAGAATCACTTACCATTCTCTCTGCCAAGCGGTTTTCTTGACATTGAAACGTCTTCTGCCACCAAATAGCAAGTACTTGCTTTTCTACCATTTCCCTAAAAACACAAATGATTATCAGTACTTTAAATAAAATAACTCCAAAAGGACAAGAAGTTCAAAATGGAATATTGCAGAAGAGGCAAATAAGCTCAGGTGAGGAAAAGGAAAGCTGAAAACAAAGGCTAAAATCCTACAACTAATACTTTCATTTTTTAATTATTTATGAATACAAGAACTGGGGTACAGGCCAGACATGTGGGAGGTAAGAGGATTCATCAGAGACAGAGTGGGGAGCAGAACAGGCAGATCGACTGAAATCCACTGCTGAGGGGAGCGGCGGGCGGGACAGAGGAGGGCTGCTGTGCCCTGTGGGTCGGCTCCCTGCGTGGGGATTGAACTCGTGGCACAGTGGCTTCAGAGAGCCTGACAGCACTGTCTTTAACCCCTGCGCCATCAGGGAGGCCCCTGCCCCAGACCGTTTTAACTTATTTCTGATGTTAGCCAGGGACTCTGAAAAATGACCCTCCCTTGACTGCGCATATTGGCTGGTTGCGCCGCACTAATTACTAGTAGAGCTCAACAGCCACTCGGTGCGGCATTTCCGATCTGGGCTGACCGGCCAGACGTCAGCCCCCCAAGGCTTAGGGGCAGGTCTGAGGCGGCCCAGGAGACAGTATTTTCAGCAAGTGTTCAAGGTGAGCAGGGCAGGAGACTGGTTTGGGAACTGTGACTTTCTCACCCACTCCTCATGTCTAAGTCAAAGCCTACAAAGCTACTCTGGGACAACCAGTCACATCCACCAGGGGCTGCACTTTGGCAAAACTATCAGGACCAAAGCTAGAGGGTAGCAGGAAGGGCTTCCCTGGCATTTAACACATCACACTCATTATATTGCCCAGTACAAAGACCTCCACTTACAGCCAAGACACACCGCAACTGGCCCTGGGTTTACCTCCAGCCAGGTATCACGAAATGGCACGAAGTCTATGAGACAAATTGTTTTCAGACTCTGGACAACAGGCAGTGCAGACTGACCCTTGAGAAGTGGTAAACACACAGGCGAGTCCCTTGGTGGCCTAGGCTTTCTGTCTGGGGGTACTTTCTGGACAGCATGACAGTGCAGGCTGAGGAGACACAGGCTGAAGCTCCAGGCGGGAGGGGTAGGCCCATATGGACCCATAACCTCTCTAGGCCTGGGTGGGAGGAGACCTAACCCTGTCGTCCCAACTGTCTAAACCTCAGTGCTACCTTGGCTACGAGATGCCCTTGGCCGAGGGAGGCCGTCCTCACATGCATGGCTTTCTCGTGGACACCTTGCCACAGAGGGAATTTCCAGAATTCTATGTGAGGGTCCATAGATCCTCCAAATGAGGGCAGACAAAATGGCCACTGTAGTGCTAAGAGCTGAGTGGAATTAACAGAGGTTGGAAGGGCTGGAAAGTGGAGTTTCAGCCTAGTCAGAATGGAAAGACCTGGTTAGGGACCTCAAAACTAAGAAAGGCTAAGCCTTTGGGTTAAAGGGCCATGACTTAACACCAAAGACAAAATTAAAAAGATCCATGGAGAGAAACTATAAAACCAAACTTGAGAGGTGAACAGGAACTACCAAGACAAACAGAAACCATCATTTTCTGTAACAAAATACAACACCCTTTAAAGAAAAAAATGCTATAGGGCCTCCCTGGTGGCACAAAAGGTTAAAACACAGCACTATGAATCTATCCACAGCCACTGCAGCATGAGTTTCATCCCCAGCTAGGGAGCTGACCCACATGGCGCAGCAGACCTCTCCTGTCTTGTCCACCACTCCCCTTAATAGTCCCCTCAGCAGTGTACTTAAGTCAACCCGCCTGTTCTGCTCCCCACTCTGTCTCTGGTGAATCCTCTCACCCGCTGCACCCTCTGGCCTGTACTCCAGTTCTTGTATGCATGAATAAATAGATCTTTGAAAGAAAAGATGCTACCAAAAGAATTGATGACCCAAATGTTAGAATCAGTAAACACTTATAAATAGCTACTTATATATAAGTTCCAGTACTTAGATGAAATGATGAACAAAATTGGTTACGAGACAGGGAATCTTAGCAGAAAAACAGGAAGTACAACAATGAGCCAAGTGGCTCAGAGCCCCTCAACACAGATGCTGTAGACCCGGAAATTCCACCCCAGGACTAAAAACAGGACCTTAAACAAAGGTATGCACACTTCTGTTCACCACAATATTATAGAAGCCAAGAGGGAACAACGCAAGTGTCCACCAACACATGGATGATAAATTGGTCCATCCATACAGCAGTTCAACTAACATTAAACTCTTACACGTGCTGCAATACACCGTGCTGAGTGAAGCAGGCGAGACACTAGAGGACAAACATGTGATTCCACTTGTATGAAGCACCTAGAATAGGTAAATCTAGAGCCAGAAAGTAGATCAGGAGCTTATCATGGAATGGAGAGAAATGTGACGTTACTTAAGGGTACAGAATTTATTTATGGGTGCAGTGTTCAAATTTACAGATTATTAATGGGTAAAGGTCTTTACCAGGGACAAAGTTTATGCTGTAGATGGTGAAAATTTCCAGAAATGGAAGTGGTTATGGTTGTGTAATTCCGTGAATGTACTTCATGCCTCTGAATTGGTTCCTTAGGTGGTTAAAAGCGTAAGCCATCCATGTCTGGAAATGTCTCTTGCTTCTCAGACCTAAGCGGATGTGCACGCTCAGGGCAGTCTCCAGTCACTTGCGAGCTGCGTGCGGCTGCTCAAATTCCTCTCTATGGGACCAGGAAATTACCTCAGTCAGGCCCTCCTCACCCTTCTATAATATTTAACAACGGGACGCCTGGCCACCTGTCCTCTCACGGGAAACCTCTCTAGGTACTCCCCAAATGCCCTCAGCGCTACCTGTGAGCTCCACAAGAACTTGTGGCTGACAAAACTGAGGACGCATGCATCTGTTCTCTTGAATCCTTCCTCTGTTGTTTCTCACGGATCAGTCTTACCTCCTTACAAAAATTTACAGTTCCGACAGTCATCTAGTTTCTACCAGATCAAGAGGAAGACCTTGACCTAGCAGAAATGACATGGACACCAGCATTGGGGAGATCTGGGTTCAAGCCTTGATTGCTGCTCCCTGGTTGTGCTACACGGTGAGTCATTCATCATCCTGAACCTGTTCTCAGGGCCTCTGTGAGAAGGAAATTGTTCATGAAGAGGATGATCTCAGTGGTGAATGAGTTTAGAGACTTGTTTCCTCGCTCCTAAAACATAATGCTCACCACACTGGCAGACTCACAGCAAGTATCTCTTCATTGAGTTCCACCATTAGGCAGTAAAACCTGCTATGGGCCTGCTTTAGTCCCTGTGGGAGCAGAAGAGATTAGCTCTCTGTATGGTCTTGCCCAACCTAATTTTGTTGAAATCTGTAATTTCAAGACTTCAAAAAAGATCTAGCACAAGAACCAAGTGTTTTAAAGAAATTAGTCAAGAATGCCTACCAAAGTGATGCCAAACTCAACTCTATTCTGATCCAAAAAGCTACTGGGCAGCTTTAGTGGCGCTCACAGTGGCTAGTACTGAGGGAGAGCATAAACCCAGGCGATCTTAAAAGCTTGTAATCAGGACAGAAAAAAGTCTTCACAGGTGAAAAACTGGCTGTCTCTTCCAGCTGGTGAAGTCAACAAGCCCACATAATTGAAATACCAGAAAGAATTATGGTCTGGGGCCAGGAGGCTGATCAACAGCACAAATGACACTGGGGTGACAGATCGGACCGACCTGTGGAAGCGTGCTGCTCTCGCGTCACGGGCGCTTTCCTGCTGGCTCCACTGCCAGGATGCTTTCCATGCCCGGAAGGCTACAGGCAGGGCTCTCTGCTGGAAATGATCGTCTGCCCTGGCCTGCAACAGCTTAAGAGAAAAAAGGCACATTATTTGTACATTTAAAAAAATGACCTGTCAAGGTCACACTCTTGAAGGAGGGTTGCTTCCTCCATAAAACTGATGAAAATATCAAATACTGTTATCATCTTTGCCAGTTATGGGTAAAAAATTTGTGTTAAAGTGGGTCAAGCATGCATGGATGTGCAGACATCCCCAGGGTCAGGTGTCACAGTCCTTGCCTGTTTTACTGCGTTTCAGCATTTAACATCAGTGTAGCCAGGCTTCAGGAGCCTCGAGGACTCTTAGTCCTTTGTTATATACCATGTAAATATTGTTCTCACCCTGTAATACGTCTTTGATTTTCTTAGTACTTGTCATACATATCCTTCAAGTAGCTTTATCACAGAAGCCTGCTCTTTTACTGGTAAATCAATAGGAAGACAGAAAACTGACATTAAGAATTTTTGTTTCCACAACCCGTAACTCTGGGGGAGGGGAAGGGAAAGCTATGTGTACACATGGTAGTTTTAAAGTATGACTGCAGACTCTTTGGCCTTTTTCCCCTGAGAAGTCCTCTCACTTTATGTCCCATCCCCTGGAATCTGGGTGGAACAATGACTGCTTTGACCAACAGAGTACAGTGAAGGTGACATTCTGGGTAACAGTTACAGTTGAGCCCAGTCTTCTAGCCACTGCAGCCCAGGAATCAGACATGCGAGTGAAGAAACTCTAGATAATTCTCACCCCACTTTTAGAATCTCTCGAGGAGGAGCAGCGGAAAGGACAGGAGAGGTCCGCTGCGCCATCTGGGTCACCTCCAGGGGCGGGGATCTAACACGTGCTGAAGTAGCTGCAGCTGGCTTTTCAGTGCTGTGCTTTAACCCTCTGCGCCTCCAGGGAGGGCCTAAATACCACCTTTCAGCTCTGGTGCTCTCATCCTTTTCTAGCAGGTCTCTCTACATTTTGGTGAGCTGGCTTTAAACAGGCTTAGGAGACCAAGTAGTAATGTCCTTTCAAAACAGTCACGTAATTCAAAAGGACAACAAAGAATGTAGCAACTCTGAGGCACTGTCTAGGTGTGGCCCGCAAGGGTGACACAGGAGGAAGCCAGGGCTGCCTAGTACCACCCAGACCCCAAACCGCGGTGATCTCTGACGACAACTGTGAAGCAGTGTGTTTATCTGTTCACGCGTTTGTTCATTCATTTGTCCAAATACTAGTCAGACACTACCCCCTACACCAACACTGTGCTGGGCCGACAAGAAAGAGACAACTTGTACCCTTAAGGAGTTCACAGACTGCCGGGGGGAGACCAGCACATAACTGCATGATGAACCCGCTGATAAAGCTGCAGGGGGCTGGGAGGCAGGCGGGGGAGGAGGAGGTAATACCTGCACTAAAGGTAGCAAGGAAACAGGACTGCAGGTGCACAGAGAGGTGGGAGAGCAGAATGCATGCAGGGAGGACCCGCAGCTAAGCTGTCAGGGTAGTGGTGAAGGCAGAAAGAGAGGGAACAAGAAAGGGAGAGAAGTAGGGCTACCAACTACCAAAGGAAACCTGGATCCTACTCCCAAGCTATAAGGAACCAGCTAAAATTTTAGATTCACATGCAAGGCCCCAGCAGCAGGCGTAAGTGAGGGTGGGGACGACAGCATGAAAACAACCGGGAGGAGCGTGGTTTGTCTGGTTTGGGGCAACAGCACTTTCACCCACGACGCCCTAGCAGACGTCTCAGTGGGACACATACTCCCGGGTTCCAAGGAAGCCTCAGAATGCTCCCCAGTCAGCATCCAGTCAGCTGTACTCGTCGCTAGAGCTGGCCTTCAAGGTCACGCTCATCTGGCCCCAGTGCTATGTGACAGGCCGGGATGTGTACCACAGCTGTACCCTCAGTGCCCAGTGCAGTGTGAGGCACAGCAGCCACTCAGCCTTTTGAGATGCACTGAATCCATCTTTCTCAATGTGCCTTTACTGGGCTGCAGCCTGACCCCCACGCCGACGTCCTCCCACCCACCAGAGGTCCTGCTCAGCACTGGGCTACAGCACTTAAGCTCTGCACCTCTCCCAATAGCTTCTTGAGGTCCCACTGGGTGCCAGGAAGGTGAAGTACTACATAAGCAAGGAAGGAGTCCAGACAAGAATGGCAAGGGTGACAAGAGCTCATCTGAGAAAAGCCGCATTTTTCAGCAGTTAAAGGAACGGGAGTTACACAACCTTGCTGAAACCACCAGAGATACTAGGGAAACAGCGTTGAGTGTGGTACGGCTGGCTCTCTCCGTATCAGAACACCCAGACCTCGGCACAGGCCCTTTCCAAGATGCTTTCCAAAGCAAATGGACCCAAGACTGTACGCAGCAGAGCTGTGTGTGTGAAGTATCCAAACCTGCTTGTGTCGCCGCTTCTGCAAACACTGCAACCACAACTGGACACACTTGCGTAGCAGCGTTATTCTGAAATAAAACGCAGACCATCAAGATCCTGCTGATTCTGTCTTCAGGTTTTTAAATTTTTTCTTTTGTTTTTAAGGCAGGTAAGTCTGAGTGCAGTTAAATCTAGGGGTTCACTAGTTTCATTTTAGGAGAAGGGAATAAAAACCTGAGATCTAACGTGAAATCTGTGAGCCCCTATTTTTGAACTGAGGCTTGCCCCACAATTTTGACAACATTCTTGTAAACCTAGTAAGACCACCAAACATGATGTCTCTGGAACTTAATAAATATGTATGATAGCCACCAAATATCTACAACTTTTTGGTTTTATGGCCAAACTTGGGGGTTTATTTAGGCCCACCAGGTCTGTGACATGTTCTCTTGAATACAGTGCTTTCTGAGAGTGAGAACCAGGTTTATAAACCAGCACTTACAGTAACGATAGACTTCGATAACTCCAAGTTGAATCAGTGAAATATTAGGATTTTGCACTGATCCATTAAAATATGCTCCAAAAATCGGACCTAGAACTGCAGATCAAGTTGACTACACTATTAAGAAAGGGGGTCAGCTGAACGTTTCTGGCAGCAAAGAGTCACTAGTGTTTACCTGTAAAGAATAAGATTAAGGGATACCAGGGAGGTATTCAGGATGTTTAATTTTTAACTTCATACTTTCCTTCCTACACACTCTGTTTTGCTCATGGACATGCAGAGCTTTTATTTAACTGAATAATTGAATCTTAAAAGTTGACCGTGTCTGTACTCTGCAAGACCAATCAACCAGCCCACATATGTCCCCAGCCCAACCCTCCTCTTCAACATCATCAGGAGCTCTAAGATACGAACACTACTCAAGTATGATGAAGGACTGAGGGGTGAGCTGGCAGGCGCACGCCTCAAACCATGGCAGCCACGGACCAGTGTAAACATCCTTACGCCATCTCCCACTTGTTTATTCAAAAGGAAACGCAAGCTCGGGAGCCACTGGCGCACCGGGGCCTTCCGGAACCCGCGGCAGGCACACACGGAAGGCAGGTCGTCGCGCCTGGAGAGCAGCGAGCCAGCCGATGCGAGTTCAGGGGAGCCAGGGATGAGGCCAGAGTCCCCACCTGCAGTGGTTCCAGGCCGCATGCAGTAAGGGGAGCTGCTCTGTCTCCTCCCTCTGCTCAATCCGAGACTTCCAGAGGTTCCAGAACCTACGCAACAGCTGAGGCAGAACAAGAAGGAAACGGAAATGTACTGGGGAAAAGGAAAAATGACCTTTTAACTTGTAAATTAGCAAATCTTCCCTCCAAAAGACCATAAGCAACCCAAGGCAGGGTTATTTTAAGAGGGCACTCAGTCTTGCAAGGCCCACTCAGTCTTGCAAAATAGTCATGGCTAAGCAAATAGGTGGATCCAATCCAGTTTCTGAAAATCAAAATGAGGAGATTAGTCCCAAGTTGGTAATCATGTCATGGAAGGCAATGCCATTTGAATATTTAGAAATTAAAACTGATCTTATCACATGCGCTGACCTGGTTCCCCACTCAGTATTCATGCCAGAAAAAGTTAAACTTCAATCTAATGAAGTCTTGGATCTTTTAGTTTATAGGGGTTACACAGATTAAAGGAAAGTTAAGTTACCCAAAAGGATGTAACAGATAAATCTAGAATATGGGTCACAGTACAAAATCAATGGTCTCTTCTTTCCTAAAGTCAACATCATTGAAAAAAGAAAAGTGCACTGATGCTTAATGAAACAAACCAGACACACTCACATCTGAGACAAATACATCGAAGGTGCAGAGAAGGAAAGTGGAATGATGTGCCCAGGGGCCGGGGTAGAAGAACGGGCAGCGGAACAGGACACAGCTTTGTTTTGTAACATAAAGGTGGACAGTGGCGATGGTTGCTCAACAGTGTCAATGTACTTAATGTCACTGAACTGTACACTTAAAGTAGATTAAGAGGTGAGTTTTATATTGAGTCTTATTATAACTAAAAAATAAAAAACAGGAGACTACTGTTGATTAAGAGCCTTAAAGACACAACCAAATGCGATAATGAATAATTCCTAATAGAATTCTGGTTTAAAAAGATATTCAGGGAAATCTGAGTAGGGACTAGGTACTGGATAATATTATGGAGTTATTGTTCAATTTGTCAGGGCTGATTTGGCTATTGTGGTTATGTGAGAAACTTATTTTGGGGTGAGGGTTACTGAAGTATTTAGGTGTAATGTGTCATGTTGTCTCTAACTTTAAAATGATTCATCCCCCCCAAAACTAAGAAAATATAGCAAATATCAACAACTGCTGAATCTAGGTAGAGAGTATACAGAACTTCATCATCCTATCTATTTTTTTGTACGTGTGATCACTTAACACGGACCTGGGCCATCCTACATCCTGAAACACAACTAGAAGCAGAGAGAGGACATCTGTTGCACTCAGGTGAGTAAACAACTAAAGAAAACAGATTTAAAGTGTAAACACAACCAAAGCCTCCTATAATTCAAGGCTTAAAGTACATTCCTGGGTCAGGGTTGGAATCCACAGGCCCTGACCTCTGATTCAATGTTCTTAGCAAACAGATACAAAACGGAATGAAGCAAGGCAAAAACAAGAGTTCTCTATTGGTCATTATTTTTAAAGAAACTGGGCACCAAGGTTTCAGGGTCTGGAGGCTTGGACAAATGCATGAGCACAGAGGTCAAAGAAACGGGACGGGTGATGAGAAGACACCCTGGCAAAGAGGCCCTCACCAAGGCGTCGTGTTGCTGGTGGGCGAGATTGCTCCTTATGCGCTGAAGATGGGCACGGGCCGTGTGGTCTTTCAATGCTCTGAAGCAAAAGCGCTGTGAAAAGAAGGAAGCATACAAGCAGTTATGGGTCGGTGAAGCGGAAAGCTAAGAGCGGGCGAAGGAGCAGAGCCTAGGTGAGAAGGCGAGCAGCTGCTCCCGAGGCCCTGAGAACATCTGTCTGTCTAGAGTCACCTGGGAGCCTGACACGGGCCAGCCCACACGGTGGGCTCGCAGGAAACGGCTGGACTCCCGCCCCACCGCCACGGGTACTGCGAGGGACCCAACCACCCTCACCTCGGGCCAGGAGAGAACACTATCAAGAGAGGGTAAAGCATCAACGCTGCCTCTCAGAAAGAAGACATCATCTTGGCCTGTTGTGTTTGTGTGTTTAACCTGGGTCACACATACGCTTTCATGATTATAACGCAATTTTGCAAGAGCAGAGCAGAAGGAACCCTTGGTGAGTGAGGGAGCTGGGTAGGACAGCAGGCCTCGCTGCATTATCAGTAGTGCCTCACATGTGGCCTAAGCGAAGTCCATTCCCCAAACCCTGGTTTCAGTGTTCTAAGACAAAAGTACAAAGAACAAGGATTTATGCTCTGTGCACCCCCACAGGGTCCTGAGTGTCTGAAGATCAGTTCAAGTGTTGAGGATCAGGGAGAGCAGCCAAGGGAACAGGGCCGACGTCCACACCTTGCTTCCACCTCAGCTTCTCTACTTTGATCAATTTCACAGATTAGGCTGCAAACTGTAAAAACAGGGCCCTCCATGAAGAAAACTCCAGAACTAAATCATCTCAAAGCTTCCTTTAGGCTCCAAAGCCCTCTACCTCGCAAGACTGCCATCTCCGATCAAAATGAAACAGACACCCTAGATTTAAGAGGGCCTCGGGACTGAGGCTAAGTATATAACTGCAGCCACTCAAAGAACCTGACATGGCCCCCAAGAGCAGACGCCTGAGAAAGGCTGACGAGCTTACCAGCAGGCCGCACCTGTGGTGTTCTTCCGCCACCTTCCACTGGGCAGCTGCTTCTGCACACAGCAACACGTCTGTGAGGGAGTTGAGGGTCTCACTCAAGGTTCCCACCCCACACAGTGCCAGCCTAGTGACCCACGTGCGGGGGCCTGCTGGAGGGGGCAACAGAGAGGCCAAGTGGGCTGATGTCCACCTCTGACTCCTCCAGAGAAGAGTGGGCAAAGGGAAGTCATGTTGCTTCATCCACAGCTGGCCTGGCCTTTCTCCCCTTTGACGCCCATTTGATGAGAGGCAACAATATATCTGAGATAAATTGCCACCAATTTCAGGAAACACTTCAAAACCACATTTTAAAAGCAGAAGCTGCTCCTCCTCCCCTGCTCCCTTTTCCAGTATTACAATCCAGACAGATAGTGGAGAGAAAAACACCTTATTTTCAAACCTTTCCCCCACCAACTCCATCTACTGATGCCTGTCCGTCTGTTTCCTCCTAAATCTGCTGCACCTGCCCCATCCTGCGCCTGCAGGCCCCATGCCCTGCAACCTTCATTCGAGTTGACCCTCAGGCATGGTCCTGTCTCCTGCCAGTCCCAACTCTATGCCACATAACTGGTCTCCCTGTGCGAGATCCCATACGATAACCTAGGACGATCCCCTCTAAAGCACGAATCTGCTCTACTACTTCTCTTCTGAGTAACGTACAGCAGCTCCCCGGTGCCGTGAGTGAGGATGAAGCCCCAACTCCCGACCAGACCCCACGGGGTTGCGTGAGCATGCCTCTAGCTAGCCTGCCGCAGCTGCTCTGTCTGCACCACGCAGCTCACTCCGACCTGGCCCCATCCTCAGATGCTCTTCGTGTCACTCCTCTCGCCTGGCATGCCCTCCCTGACCTCTTCGCCGGATGAGCTTGTCTTCTCCTGGAATTTAAATATAGCTCATACCTTGTGAAGTTGAACCTTCACAACAGGTCTTTGCAGGACCTGACACATAACACTTACCACATCATACTGTAAAGACCCATTTTCTTGCTTATTTTCCACACTATATAATGAACTGTCAGTCTTTGAGAACATTCATATTCCAGAACTTAGGCAGGAGTTTAACACTAAGCAAGAATTCAGTGGAAAGATGGGTGAACATCCAGGCCACTCCAGACTCAGGCACAACCCGCAGGAGGGGACACGCTACACGTGACCAGACTCCAAGGCCTCGATTTACAAACTCCCAGCTCTACCAGTGACTTGATGTGACTCTGACAAATCACTAAGCCCTCCTGAATCTGTTTCCTCATCAGTAAAATAAGATCTAAGGACACCCACTCCATAGGTTTGCAATGAGCATTAAGGCAACAATACATAGTATCTACATACAGTAAAAACTCAGAAAGTGCAAGTTACATCAAATTCAAGACAGTGGAATTACCCCTGGGGTGGGGGCGGGAAGCGTAATCAGGGAGGAACAGGAGTAATGCTCTAAGTTGGGTGGTGGGTCCACAGGTGTCACTGTTATTCTTTAAATCACAAACGTGTGTCATACATACTCTTTTGTATGAATAGTCCCAATTAAATATTTTAAAGTCAACAAACATTAGCGATGTCCCAAATGTACAGGCACTCGGTCCCATGTTTCACCCGACTCATTTTATCCTTATTTTATCCACTGCTTAGTTCCAGCTTCTTGGCTGGAACCAAGAAGAGGGATGCTGGCTAAGAAGGATACAGTGTTTCCAGTGGGCGAAGGCTCGCCTCAGCGCCATCCTCCTGGCCACTGCTCCCACCAGGGCTCGGTGAGTGTGCAGGAGCTCCCTCTGCTCCCTGGCCCGCTGCCAATCACAGAAATGTGTCTGCAGCACAGTGGCATGGTGGAATCGCTCAGCCATCTCTGCAACAGAGAACATAAACTTACAAGCTGCCCCCCACCAGGCTGGCGGTGATGAGCTGCAAGCACGTTGTGACAAGCTGAATCCCACTGATGGCAGACAGAAGGGACTCAAGACTCTTCCCGCCAAGAATCCTAAAATTAGTTTTTTTTTAATATTTATTTTTATTTATTTATGCATACAAGAGCTGGTGGGTAGGCCAAAAATGCAGGGGTTGAGAGGATTCACCAGAGAGAGTGGGGAGCAGAACAGGCACTGTGCTGAAATACACTGCTGAGGGAGCAGCTGGCGAAACTGGAGAGGTCTGCTGCTCAGAGTGGGTCACTGGCTGGCAGGGATCGCATTCAAGCCTCAGTGGCTGACAATAGCTTGACAGTGCTGAGACTTTAACCTCTGCACCACAAGGGAAGCCTGTACATTAAGTTTTTTAAATACAGGAGGGTTACTGGGAAATCCTTAGCTATAGCCCCTATCTGGCAAAGAGAAAAAGTATAATTTTAGGGAGAAGGAGGCTACAACATAGGTTATATTAAATGTTAAGGCTGTAGGCTAGAGCCCAACAGGCAGGAAGGGTGTGTCTGGAAGAATAAAGCCCCCTGGCATGTTCTCAAGGTCGTATTTCACTTTTGTCTCTTCTGATTATCTCCTAGACAAGACTTCAAGGAGGGACTAAGTGGAGGATATGCTAGGTCAACTTGCCGGCAAAGACTTTCTGAGCTTTCAACCAGGCTGAGTCTGGTCCCAGCTTCCCTGCCTTTTACCACTAAGTAGCTAATGGCCTGAGGAGTTTAGGTTCAGGGAGTGGAAGGGAAGTGGGCCTGAAATTCAAATACTACAGATTCAAATTAATTTGCATCTCCTTATGCTGAATAGCCTAATGCCTTCACCGGCCAGACTTGGACAGGGGACAGTTGGTCCCCATTACTACCCTCAAATGGACACAGTGAAACTCTCCCAAGAGTGTTTGGGAATTCTAGATTTCTGCAGGGAGACCTAGATAAAAGCTAGAGAGCTTCTAAGAGTATTTCTAAGTAGGTGCAACAAACGCAGTACAAAAAGTACCAGCGGTCATAACCCATGTATTATTACTTCTGAACTCCAAGTGGGAAACTAATTAAAAAAGCCGACATCACAGAGCATATGCATTTGCATAATTGGGAACAAACAGTAACAATCCAAGTAGCTACCAACAGAAGAATGGCCAAGTAGATTAAGGTAAGCCATTCTATAAAATTTTTTAATTAAAAAAAAAAAAAGTTTTGAGGAAGATACAGAAAAGTGTTGATTGGTTGTGGGGGGGGAACAAGATAGACAATTGTATGTATACTATTATCAAAATAATGACAGCACTTATAGCATAATCGAAACCCTGTTGAATAAAATATGTAGGCAGAAGAAAAGGCCAGGGCCCTCCTCGTGGCGCATGGGTTAAAGGGCAGCACCATGAAGCTCCCGGCAGCAGCTTCAGTGCAAGTTCAGTCCCCGCCTGCCTTGAGGTGACCCACATGGCGAGGCAGACCTCTCCTGACCCGCCCGCTGCTCCCCTCAGCAGTGTACTTCGTCAATCTGTCTGTTCTGCTCCCCACTCTGTCTCTGGTGAATCCTCTCACCCCTATACCTCTGGCCTGTACGACAGTTTTGCATGTATAAATAAATAAATCTTTAAAAAAAAGCCAAATGGCGTTAACTACAAGAATCAAGGGTGCGATAGTCCCTGAATTAATATCCTTTTTCCAAAATGTGTGGCATATTATTATTTCTCTCCTGAAAAATTTAGCACCACTGGCAGTAGGAACACAGACATTGTGCTTGGCCGTTGGTCTACCGAGCCCAGAACTTCTCCTCACCATGCTGCTGTCTCTTAACTCTGCGGACCTGGAGGTACTGAAGCCAGGCCTTCAGGAATTTCCACTTCTGCCAGTGCTGGTGATGTCTTGCTGCAGAGACCATCTTCCGTCTCTCCCTCCAGACATGCAGGAGCTGTTCCTGCCACTGTGACCAAGCCTGAAAAACAGGAAAATGACAGCAAAGGTAGGATGGTGTTGGGGGAAATTAGGCTTTTTGGATATGATATTGTGTCATACAGGAGAACATTCTTATTTCAGAAGACAAAAGTTGAAGTGGTTAGGGTAACCTTTATATCTACAGTTTTTAAAATGTAAGGGATACATTTATATACAAAGAGAAAGCCAATGTAATATTAATAATGGGTTAGACTAGTGAAGAATATACAGTATCCACTGTTGTTGTTTTTTTTTCTGGGACTGGGTTTTGTCAAAAATAAAAAGTTAGGGGCCTCCCTGGTGGTGCAGGGGTTAAAGACACAACACCATCAAGCTATTGGCAGCCACTGCAGCACGAGTTCAATCCCGGCCAGGGAGCTGACCCACAGGGCGCAGCAGACTTCTCTTGCCCCTCCTGCTGCTCCCCTCAGCAGTGGATTTCTGTACATCTGCCTGTTCTGCTCCCCACTGTCTCTGGTGAATCCTCTCACTTCCTACACCTCTACCCTATACCCTAGTTCTTGTATGCATAAATAAATCAATCTAAAAAAAAAAGTTGGGGAGAGGGGAAGAGTACAGTCACAAAAATATTTCCTGAAAGTGGTAAAGCAGTGATTTTCAAAACAACCAAACATTCCCATGAAGACCCCACTCTGCAGGGTCCTTCCTGGTGGTGCAACGGGTTAAAGTGCAACACTATGAAGCTATCACAGCCACTGCAGCATGAGTTCAATCCCCAGCCAGGGAGGTGACCCACCTGCTGCTCCCCTCGGCAGTGTATTTCAGTGGATCTGCCTGTTCTGCTCCCCACTCTGTCTTTAGTGAATCCTCTCTCACCCCCACCCTTGCACCTCTGGCCTATACCCCAGTTCTTTATGTATACATAAATCTTTAGGAAAAGAAAAAAAAAAGAAGAATAAACTCTGCCATCCAGCTAATACTTGCTTCTTTGATTTCTAAACTCTTCAAAGGGGCTATTTTCTAATTTCTCTTCTCTCAAACAAGTTTCCTTGAAGCCTCTTCATGACTTACTGAAATTGCGCTGTTAGCAAGAGCATCAATGGTATCTACATTGCCTACCACCAAATCACCCATGTGCCATCACCATAGTCCTGTGCGCTCTTCCTGCCCCAGTTATGACCCTATTATCTTCTCACCCCTGTAGAATATCTCTGGTTTATAACTGTTGATTTTTGTTTTTATTTTATTACAATAGCTTTTTTCCCTGATCCTTTAAATTCCAGCTATGAGTGAAATGGTCTTTTTTTTTT